GGAAGGAGGGGAGGGGCGGGGGGCGCGAAGACGGTAGAGACGTGTGGGTCTGCGGCCGATCACGACGAAACTTTCAGCAGTACTCTCCGGAGTTTATCAATTTTACATCTTCTCTAAAATGTTCATTACCCTGACCCAAATGACCTTTGACCTGTGATCTATTTATCGAGACCATGTTTGGCGGGAATTGCGCCTATGTCAGCTCACATTATCCGCGCGTTTCCAGTCTTTTTGTGATTGTAAACGTTCAAACATGTAAAGTGATGTTGGTTCCATGCATTATGCTGGGTGTCAAGGTCACGTAAAGGTCAGGTCAACGTCATTGACCTTTGATGAACTTGGTTAACTTTTTCGAGTTTTGCACATTTCTAGGGTATTTTTTGGAGCTGATTTCGAATTTAGCATCCATTTGAACATTTACGAAGTAGTTTTAGTGCCTTCGTAACATGTTACGACGTCGTCAGTGGTGGTTGACACCTAGGTACTATGGATAGCCAGCAGGACGCCTTCTAGTTGACCTAACCTGACCTGACCCGACCTGGCCTAAATGCATGAGACATCATCTGGGATCAAAACGAACATCAAATACGTGATCAGCACCCCGACAAAAACCATAACGGTAAAGTTATAGCAGGTCCCGATTTTCCCGGTCATTGACCTGACCGAAGGTCAACTATACCTAGGGCCTTACAATAGGGTATCATCGGCTTCCTCTCGTCACGGGCAACTCGCTCTTTTTCTGAGAAGCTTTATCTCGATCAGGGACCGAACGGCAGGGAGGGTCCAACTGAACCCCACCCGCACCCCCCTCCCCCTCCACACACACGTTAGAGGCTAGGAAATGCCATACATGAGCGAGGGTTAATAAGAGCGTGTACCTATGTATGTGCAACTAATCTACATATTTTCTTCCTTCTAGGCCAGTAGTTCACACTTTTCAATGAGCAAGTTTTTTTTTGGTAGATGGCAATCATCCACATAGAAAGAGGAAAAAATATATTTTTGAAAAAGAACGAGATGATGTGACAAATCCACGCTTCCTATACCGACCACAAACAAAGCTGCATTCTACTGTACCTATCTATGCACAGAACATCTACAGACAGCTTTGTTTACACGTGCGCCGTGGGCGCATGACGTGAAAAGTCCAGAAAGCTGCTAAGCACACGTGAAAGGTATACGAATACATCGGTATCGCTAGACTTCATAGCTTTTGTGGATACTGCTAATTAGGTATTTATACCATCCTAGCACGCAAAAATAATTGTATAGTACACACCCTATGACACATATCCATGCCATCATCTCAGAGTTAGGTACAGACCAATGCACTCGATTGAGGGAACCCTCGAGGAGTGACCACTGACCACCGCTCGAAAAGTCACTTCAGTATCGTTCATTGCAGGGTTGTCGGGGTTAATCCTTTTTCATGGATGAAATACGGTAACTCACTATTTTTCCTCAGGGAAAGTCACGTTCTAAGGAATTCCGTTATCAAACGCCAATCCAGAGATATTTATATCCAGAGATATGCAGAGATCACTAAAGATATTGCCTTTGGAAAAAGTTATCGATGGTTGATTGACTTCCTAGTGTGTCACGGCTCTCAGAAAACTGGGGTGTACGAGTATTCAGATAAGCCCTCCCTCACCGCCAGGCGACAGGGGTCAAGGTCAAGGTCACCCGCGCTGGGCGGCGGGTTTGCGACGCTCGAACACCCGCATGCCACAGTTCCTTACAATTATCCACATATGTTTGGGCTAAGGTATCGTCTTCTCGATAAGGTAGCATCTTCTGCGACCTTTTAAATAAACCACCATAAGGGCAAGGATAAGATAGCTTTCAGATGTTTTTGAAACAATCAACCCTGGTAATAAACCGCTCCCAGAATCAGCCACCCACAGAATAAAATCTCCTTAGGAATAAACCACCCTGACGATAAACCACCCCTTGGATCAGTCACCCTTAAGATAATCGATTATCACTCCGGCCACCTTCTGACCTCTCAGGGACATTCAATAAGGAATAACGGTGGCATCTGGCAGACAAATTCCCAGCCCCAGTGGCTCAGGCCCGGGTGACCTACGCCCGGGTGGCCTACGCCCGGCTGACCTACGCCCGAATTGCCTACTCCATCGAATGTCTACGCCCGGCTGACCTACGCCCGGCTGACCTACGCCCGAATCGCCTACTTCATCGAATGTCTACGCCCGGGTGACCTACGCCCGGCTGACCTACGCCCGAATCGCCTACCCCATCGAATGTCTACGCCCGGGTGACCTACGCCCGGCTAACCTACGCCCGAATCGCCTACTCCATCGAATGTCTACGCCCGGCTGACCTACGCCCGGCTGACCTACGCCCGAATCGCCTACTCCATCGAATGTCTACGCCCGGCTGACCTACGCCCGGCTGACCTACGCCCGAATAGCCTACTCCATCGAATGTCTACGCCCGGCTGACCTACGCCCGGCTAACCTACGCCCGAATCGCCTACTCCATCGAATGTCTACGCCCGGCTGACCTACGCCCGGCTGACCTACTCCATCGAATGTCTACTGCTCCCCTCCTGTCCGATTAAAGAGTGAAGATTTCGCATACCAAAGTGACCCTTCCGGGGGAACCGGCACCCGCAAGTCAGGTAACAATGGGAAGGGTCGGAGGGACCGACCGCCGCGCCGCATGGTGACAGGTGATTCCTGGGACGTCCGAGCGTCGCCTTTCAGACGCATCGCCGCCTCCCCCCCCCCCCCCCCGCCGCGCCGTGCCGCGCCGCACAAAGCAGACGGACCCTGTCGCGGAGCGAACTACCCGACCAGGCTGTCATCATCGGCGGAGAGCCTGAACTGCTTTTTTTTTTTTAATCGTTGAGCTGATCAAGCTTGAGTAGCCATGCTTGCGTATTTCACGCTTCAGCCCTGCTGTGAGCCATGTTTTATGATTTCTCATTTCAGATCTTAACAATGATCTTAGGTAGGAAGAACCGTGAGAAACGCCCCTCCCCCTTAGCCCTCGCCGGTATAAGGGGGGGGGGTCGAACAGCCCCCTCTCGGTTTTCGATAATAACTCGTGTAAAAACTCGCTGATCGCGACGGAACTTTCATTACCATCGCGTTCATCAATTTTACACCTACCCTAACAATTTCATGACCCTGACGCAAATGACCTTTGACCTGTGACCTTTTTTTCGAGACCATGTTTGGCCGGAATCGCGATTTGGCGTATATGTCGTCTCCTCTTAGCCGCGCGTTTGCACTCTTTTCGTGGTTTCAAGCGTTCAAACATGTGATATGATATTGCTCCTATGCGTTAGGGTGGGTGTCTAGTTCACTTGAAGCTCAGGACAGGTCACTGACCTTAAATAAGCTCGGTTAAATTTTACATGTTTCTAGGCTAGTTTTTTTTTTTTTTTAGCTTAATTCGAATTTAGCAACCATATGAGCATTTACGAAGTAGTTTTGGTGCTATAGTTCTTCTGAATGCTTGAGACGAGGTGTTAGTATCACTGATGTTAGTTGTCGGACTTTCGTCCCCGTCTTGAGTTGAGATGTTAGTTTCACAACGTTTCGGCCAGTTACTTCTCCGGCCGTCGTCAGGTGTTCTTTGGCCCTTAGAAGGACCTGGATGTTGGTGGCGTTGCGCCGTACGCGTCATACCGTTCGAAAGCTCCTGTAGTCAGCGGGAATCGAACTCGGGTTTCCCCGGTGATAGTCCACGGTTCTAACCACTCCACTATCGAGGCAGACATCGTTATGGAGCTGGAAACTTGGTGTCATTTATCCCCCAGATGTTTTTGTGATTTCCTTAGTAGTGGGAGCCATATTGGGCTGATGTCAACGCTTGGCTTGCTGATGGGGTTGCTAGCCAGCGCCATGTGTGCGGCTTCCTTGATTTTTCTGATTTTCCAGTGTGGCTCCTTGTCGATGATGGTGGTATCATCCCAAGCAGGTCTGTGATCTCCTTCAGACCATGCATGCTCCGCCACACCGGATTTCAGTGTTTCGCCTCGGATGGTGGCCTTCCTGTGTTCTTCGAGCCTGACCGCCAGTGGGCGGCCAGTCTCGCCCTTGTATGACCTGCCGCAGCTGCACGGGATGTCGTATATGCAGTTCTTTGTTTGCTCCTTGGTGGTTGGCGGTCTGACCTTTGTGAGTGACCTGCGGAGGGTGGTGGTACTTCTGAACACCGTCCTGATGTTGTATGCTCCGCAGATTCGCCTTAGCTTCTCTGACAGTCCTCTGTTGTATGGGAGGGATACTGTCGCGATTGGCTTATCCCTTGGTTGTTGTTGGGATGCTTCCTTGGGTTTGTGTTTCATGAAGCTCGTTGGGTATCCGTTTCTCCTGAAGGTGCTGGTAAGGCGTGACATTTCCATCTTTCTGGCTGCTTCGTCTCCACAGATGTTGGTGGCTCGGGTCTGCAGGCATCTTACGATACCTTTCTTGACTGTGTCTGGGTGGTGTGACTTGAAGTTGAGGTAGCGGTCGGTCGCTGTTGGTTTGCGGTAGACCGATGTTCTGAATGCTTCCTCAGATTTCTCCACTTGGACGTCAAGGAATGGTAGTTTGTTGTCGACTTCTGTTTCCATTGTGAATTGGATGGAGGGTCGGAGGCTGTTGAGGTGGTCTAGGAACGGTGTTATGTCCTCGCGATGGTCCCACAGGACGAATGTGTCGTCGACATATCGCAGCCACAGGGATGGTTTCAGTGGTGCTGTTTGTAAGGCCAGTTCCTCGAAGTGTTCCATGTAGATGTTGGCGATCACCGGTGACAGGGGTGAACCCATGGCCATTCCTTCAGTTTGTTGGTAGTAGTCATCGCCCAGTTGGAAGGCGGTGGTGGTGACACAGAATGTCAGGAGTTCCATGATGTCATCAGTCGGGATTGTCGTTCTTTCGGGCAGTGTATCGTCGCTCTCCAGTCTTGTCCTCACTATGCTCAGAGCTTCGGTAGTGGGCACATTGGTGAACAGACTCACCACATCGAAGCTTACCATTTGCATGTTCGGCGAAGGTCGCATCGTCAAGATCATCAACCCACTGAGTGGCAAAACACCTACATATGTCAAGAACTCAGCCCACTTCGTCTCACTGGTTCAGGCCATGCGACCTTCGCCGAACATGCAAATGGTAAGCTTCGATGTGGTGAGTCTGTTCACCAATGTGCCCACTACCGAAGCTCTGAGCATAGTGAGGACAAGACTGGAGAGCGACGATACACTGCCCGAAAGAACGACAATCCCGACTGATGACATCATGGAACTCCTGACATTCTGTGTCACCACCACCGCCTTCCAACTGGGCGATGACTACTACCAACAAACTGAAGGAATGGCCATGGGTTCACCCCTGTCACCGGTGATCGCCAACATCTACATGGAACACTTCGAGGAACTGGCCTTACAAACAGCACCACTGAAACCATCCCTGTGGCTGCGATATGTCGTCCTGTGGGACCATCGCGAGGACATAACACCGTTCCTAGACCACCTCAACAGCCTCCGACCCTCCATCCAATTCACAATGGAAACAGAAGTCGACAACAAACTACCATTCCTTGACGTCCAAGTGGAGAAATCTGAGGAAGCATTCAGAACATCGGTCTACCGCAAACCAACAGCGACCGACCGCTACCTCAACTTCAAGTCACACCACCCAGACACAGTCAAGAAAGGTATCGTAAGATGCCTGCAGACCCGAGCCACCAACATCTGTGGAGACGAAGCAGCCAGAAAGATGGAAATGTCACGCCTTACCAGCACCTTCAGGAGAAACGGATACCCAACGAGCTTCATGAAACACAAACCCAAGGAAGCATCCCAACAACAACCAAGGGATAAGCCAATCGCGACAGTATCCCTCCCATACAACAGAGGACTGTCAGAGAAGCTAAGGCGAATCTGCGGAGCATACAACATCAGGACGGTGTTCAGAAGTACCACCACCCTCCGCAGGTCACTCACAAAGGTCAGACCGCCAACCACCAAGGAGCAAACAAAGAACTGCATATACGACATCCCGTGCAGCTGCGGCAGGTCATACAAGGGCGAGACTGGCCGCCCACTGGCGGTCAGGCTCGAAGAACACAGGAAGGCCACCATCCGAGGCGAAACACTGAAATCCGGTGTGGCGGAGCATGCATGGTCTGAAGGAGATCACAGACCTGCTTGGGATGATACCACCATCATCGACAAGGAGCCACACTGGAAAATCAGAAAAATCAAGGAAGCCGCACACATGGCGCTGGCTAGCAACCCCATCAGCAAGCCAAGCGTTGACATCAGCCCAATATGGCTCCCACTACTAAGGAAATCACAAAAACATCTGGGGGATAAATGACACCAAGTTTCCAGCTCCATAACGATGTCTGCCTCGATAGTGGAGTGGTTAGAACCGTGGACTATCACCGGGGAAACCCGAGTTCGATTCCCGCTGACTACAGGAGCTTTCGAACGGTATGACGCGTACGGCGCAACGCCACCAACATCCAGGTCCTTCTAAGGGCCAAAGAACACCTGACGACGGCCGGAGAAGTAACTGGCCGAAACGTTGTGAAACTAACATCTCAACTCAAGACGGGGACGAAAGTCCGACAACTAACATCAGTGATAGTTTTGGTGCCATCGTAACATGTTACGAAGCTGTCAGAGGCGGTTGACACCTACTACGAATACCCGGCAAAACCACTACTGGTTGACCTGAACTGACCTGACCCGACCTGGCCTAAAAGCATGAAGACATCATCTGTGATAAAAACTAACATGATATTCGTGATCAGAACCCCGAATAACCTCGTAGCAGCCACACTTTACGACCCAACTGGTCTCGATTTTTCCGACTTTTGGGCCAATGACCTGGCTTGAAAGGTCAACCAATGACCTAGGACCTTAAAATTGGGTATCATCGGCTTCCTCTTGTCACGGGAAACACGCTCGTTTTTTCGCGAAGCTCTAGCTCCATCAGGGGTGAGACGGCAAGGGGGGTCCAACGGACTTTCCCCGCCCTTATACGTTTGCGGCTGTCAAAACACCAATACTGGCGAGGGAAGTGTGTCACCGCTAGACTAGTTATTTGACCATATACTATTAGGTATTTATCTATATTTATTTATTTACGATCTCAAGCCTCCACGTGGTAGGTTTTAAAGCTTACGTCATTGCACAGTATGTCTTAAAAGTACCGCGCAAAGTAACAGTGGATCCATCAAGCCTGACCGAGGAAGGACTGCTAGTCACCGAAACAATGGATATCCTCGTCCATTCCCCAGGTCAATTGGTTCGGTGACTTTCAAATTATAGCAGGCCCTTCCTCGGTCAGGGTTGATGGATCCACCGTCACTTTGCGCGGTACTTTTAACCCTCGCCCTGGCAGGGCATTTTTCATAACACGGCCTGGCAGGGCGGGGGGGGGGGGGTCGATGCGACCCCCCTCGCGATTGGCTCCTATGGCACCTAGAAACACCAAATTTGGTAGGTAGGTGGGCCCCCTAGATTTCTCACCCCTGTGCAAATTTGGCTGCTCTAGGTCAATATTTAGGGAGTTTTTGGGGGATATAAATGTAAAAATTTCGCTAAAATAGGTCAAATGTTTTTCGCTTATAACTTTTGATCATAGATAGAGCAAAAAGAAAAGCAGACTGTACATAGGTACATTGGAGTGTTATGCATACATACATAGGTACAAACCATGGTCACAAGTTCATCGGTGCAAAACTCACAGCCTATATAACGCACTATGCCATATACTATTTTAAAGACCTTATCTTTCAACCATTCAACAAAATAATGCATAAAGCACTGGTATGCTGCATTCCAGCGTGATTGAGCTTTTCCAAGGCATTTCAAAACGGGGTGTTTTATCCAGAATTGGAGGATCAAAAGCATGCGAAAGCATGTAGTATTACGGGTATGGTAAGACGCTATACTTTGGTTGTCACCTGATTATGAGTTTCGTTTGCATAGAAAATGCATTTAACCCTCGCCGGCCGATGGGGGGACGGCGGGTGCCGCCCCCCCCCCCCGCCCTAGGGTTTTTTTCCGCGATAGCTCCTAACACACTGGCGATAGAAAGCTGAAACTTGGCATACCTAACCTTTGATTCAAGCCGGACCTTTTGACACCAACGGCATTTTCGAGTCAGGTCAGGTCACTGACCTATGACGTTATAAGTGAACCTCTGCACGGTCTTCAGATGTCGCAACTTCACAACGCCCTCCCAGAGGAAACTCACAGGGAAATGAAACTTGCAGGATCAAGTATCCATAACGAGTCTCACAACTTGTATATCTCGGATTTTTCCGAAAGGTCATATGAGGTCAGGTCATTTTCGTGACCTCACCATTAAAAGTCAATGGGGAAAAATGAAAACTGCTATTCTGGCGCCGGGAACGATCTCCAACTATCTCAAGCACACAGAATCGTGATTTGATGTACTCCTTGCAAGGTTACATGCGTCACTTTTGCAATGTTGACCTTGCGTGACGTCATTTACAACGTCATCAAGGTCATTTTAGTTTTTCGTCAATCACTCCCGATCAAATTGAGCTAGCGAGCCAGGAAAGCTACCAATGAACTCAGGAAGACCTGCCGAATCGAATGATATGCGACATGACCTCTTTCGACCAACTTCGTGACCTGGGGGCGCTAATTTTACACCTATCCTTAAAATTTCATGACCCTGACCCTAATGGCCTTTGACCTGTGACCTACTACTTTCGAGACCATGTTTGGCCGGAATCGCGATTCAGCGCATGTCGGCTCGCATCAGCCGCGTGTTTGCAGTCTTTTCGTGGTTTCAAGCGTTCAAACATGGGATATGATGTTGCTCCCATGCATTAGGGTGGGTGTCAAGATCACCGGGAGGTCAGGTCAGGTCATTGACCTTTGATGACCTCGGTTTTCTTTTTTGGAGTTTTACATGTCTCTAGGCTAGTTTTTGGATCTGAATTCGAATTTAGCAACCATTTGAACATTTACGAAGTAATTTTGGTGCATTCGTAACATGTTACGAAGCTGTCAGAGGCGGTTGCCACCTACTACGAATACCCGGCAAAACCCTTACTGGTTGACCTGACCTGACCTGACCTGACCCGACCTGGCCTAAATGCATGAAGACATTATCTATGATCATTATTAACCCTCGCCCGCACATGGGGGGGGGTTGCCACCCCCCCCCCCCCAGGTAGTCTTTCTGCTCTGCACTCAACATTTTTAGAGCTAGAGAGCTGATTTTTGGTATAGCTGCTCGTCTATCCTTTCTTGATGTCCACTGAAAGTTTCAAGTTTCTGTGATTTTTGGTTTCGGAGATATGACCTTGTTTGTCAGGTCATGTCATGACCCAAATGGCCAATTCTCAACATCTTGCGTTTGCCATGGGCCTTGTGAGCTTTTGACACCTTGATTTCGGCCTTTTTTGCCAGTCTTACCTCCCACCTATCATGGAACATGTTGTTCGACGATGTAAAGGGGTCAAGGTCAGGGTCAAGGTCAACCTAGGTCATCTAAGATAATTGCGTTTTAGGCAAGCTGAATTTACTTTTTGTGAAGTTTTTTGCCTGCATTTTTGGTAAAAGCTTCTCAGATCATGATTTCATGTAATATGGACACAAAAACAATCGGTGCACACATCAGTATACACACAGACACACACAGACATACAAACACATATAACTGACCTTGACCTAACTTGACCTGAAATGACCTCAACAGCAAAAATCTGGTCGGGTAGTGTGACAAAGAGGTTCTAGCTGGCTTGGCACCAGAAAACGGCATCGTCATCGGTATATGATAAGCAGCGCACTTGATATCCAACGGTGACCCAAAACAGCAACATTTTTTAGTTTGACCTGACCTGGAAGGTCAATGACTGACCTGAGAAGGTAAAATCGGGTATCATTGGATTTGTCTCTTCCCAAAGAATCTTTTTGGTCTTTACCGCTAAGCTCTATCTCCAACAGGAACGAAACGGCGCGGGGGGTGGCAATTCAATTCAATTCATGTATTTAGCAACTTTCCACTTTACAGTGGCTGTTTAAAAGTCACACGTCTTGTGAATAAAAAGGTGGGACATAAAACGAGATAATATAAAAGATGACATGAAAAAAACACACACACACACACAACATCACCACCACTAGGGTCAGAGGTCAATCGGCCAACCAGACACATCCGTATCATCGCCTCACATCATAGGGGAAGTTGGGGGAACGCCGAATACTTTTTTTTTCTGACGCCCGTAGCACGCAAGGTAGACAACTTAAGCTATTCTTGTTGGCGTCATTCGAGAGGCCAGTCTTTTGCCTTTCAAACATACCAGGCGCATTTGATGAATTCGCATACCGTTAAGCGCACTAACTAAAAATATCAAAGAAGTGACTTTTTCGGCGTTGCCCCGGACTGCGGGGAAAGCCGAAAATGGGAGAAATGATCTACGGGGAATGCCGACATTGATGTTTTGCCACTTTATCTCAAACTTTATCCAGAATTTATCAAAGCTGACACGCGTTTTAAGAGCTTGAGGACGCTTGGTGCACACTGGAAGTTATAATTGTGTGATATAATAAGAAAATGCCAGGTAAATAATTCCTTATAGGTAACAGGCCGTTGTGTCGGTTGAAAGTGTAATTTGTGTGACTAAAAATTCGCGTTGCTATTCTACAGCAGTAAAGTCCACGTAGCGTGCTTTAACGTGCGTAATTGCACGTTTTCGGCATTACCCCAGCCAGCCATACTTTCATTTGCAGACCCATAACTTTTCAACGTGCCGTATAAATTTCAAATAGGCAGCACACTTATGCAAAGACATGCTGAAGATTACTTGACCGAATTGGCCAGACAAACGGTAGCATAATGAGTAAGAAATGCAGCTTCAAAGGCGCATGTAGTACAAGGAACGCGTACCTTGAAAACGCTTTTGGCGCCCTCACAGCCGAAGTATTCCGAATGACGACTCGTAACAAACATGCGATAATTGTAGTCACTTAAGCTTCAGAGCATCACTGACAGGTGGCATCCATGTCTTACGGTTTTCGAAATATCTCGAATTTCGGCTTTGCCCCAACTCCGGCATTGCCCCAACTTCCCCTATCATCGTCTAGAAGAAAATCTTTAAGACGGCGCTTGAACTGATAGATATGCTGGGCATTACGTACATCGGGTGGGAGGTGGTTGTACAAATCAGCTGCTCTAAAACTAAATCGGCGGACTCCTGAGGTGCTTACAGCATGTGAGCGCCTTAGCTGGTGAGATTGTCTCGTATCATAGCCATGGTCAGCAGTAGTCAGCATCGCGGCTATATCACCTGGCTGACCCGTGAACATGACTCTCTTCAGCAGGCAGAGAGTGTGATAGCAGACCAGTTGATCAGCCCTAAGCCAACAAAGGTCCTTTACGACATCAGATATGTGATCGTACTTCCTCCTTCCGCTCACAATCCGCGCACAAAAATTGATCAACTTTTGCACTCGGTGGAGCTGCGTTACACCGCAAGTGCCATACAGTGCGATGCAATATCTGATAGAGGAGAGCACAAGTGCACTGACGATACGAACCAACGTCTCTTTGGGAAGTACATGTTTGGCATGAGACAGGGCGATCAGTATACCTGTTGACCTCGCTACAAGCTGATCGACGTGCGGTTCGAAGGTAAGGTGTCTATCCATCACCACGCCAAGGTTCTTTACTGTGGGACTCTCAGTAATGACAGCTGAGCCGGGAGGCACATGGCAACCACCCCCCCCCCCCCCCATGTGCGTTCTAGGATGGGAAAATGGCATGTGCGGGCGAGGGTTAACATGATATTCGTGATCATCACCCCGAAAAAAGAAACCTATAGCAGCCACCTTTACGACGTTCTAACATGTCCCGCTTTTCCCGACTTTTGGCCTTTGACCTGACCTGGAAGGTTAGCCGATGACCAAGGACCTTAAAATTGGGTATCATCGGCTTTCTCTCGTCACGGGCAGCACGCTCGTTTTTTTCTGCGGAGGTCTAGCTTGATAAGGGGCGAAACGGCAAGGGGGGCAACAGACTCCTGCCCCCTATACGTTCGTGGCTGGAAAAACACCAATACGGGCGAGGGTTAAGAGTGTGTCCTTTAATAACCCGCGCCCTGATGGGGGGCCATTTTGGCCCCCACCCTGTGGTTTTTCTTAAATAGTGAGAAAATGGCGGCACGCAGCGCAGCCAAATTTTGGGTACCTTACCGGGCATCAATTCGACACCTTCACACAAAATTTCAAGTCACAGGTCACCTCAGGTCAGGAGTTATTGAGGTCAAACTGAGGTCATGTTCGAGTAAAAATGAGCAAAAAACATGACATCTTGAAACGCTCACCAATTCTACAGTTAATAAGCAATTTTAAAGTTCTTTATGTGGTTGTGTAGAGAAAAGACGGCGCTACAAAACTGCTATCTCGGAATTTCAAAATTTTGGAATTTTGACCCCCAAAAATAAAAAAATGATTTTTTTTTTAGAAAAACTCAAAAAATTTCCAAAAAATTTTCGAATTTCGAAAAAAACCGGAATATATGTGATAGTCCCTGCGCTCTTCGATATACATACCAAATTTAAGATCGATACCTCTTTTTTTGGCCAAGTTATAGCGAAAAAAACTGTTAAAAATTGATGACGTCAAATTTTTGAACTCAATTTTTAGCAATTCTAGACCTTCTAGCGCAAAAAAGAGACCACCATTGAACTCCCCGTGACGAGCTGCATCGAATCGGTACCCATTTTATGCAAAAATATCAACTTTGAAATTTGACCTAATTTGACCTGACCTTGATCTGACCTTGACTTGACCTTGACCAAAACGTGACCTAAGCTGGCCTTAAAGTCTGCCTGATCCACATAATCGCATTTGTCATGTAAAATGGACCATGAAACATGTATCACACGACACTTTCATATTGTGACCCCCAGTGACCTGACCTCTGTGACCTGACCTGGTATCAGTGACCTCAAATAGCAAAATATGTGTTTGAAGAACATTTCCCCATCGATGATTGTCAATGAAATGCATTTTACTCGATTTTACAACGCATTTCTTGAAATGCCTGTAAACGGTGAAAATTCGACCTTTGACCTGACCTGTGACGTCATCGGTTTGTACGAGGTCAATGAAATTAGGTCACAAGGTAGTTCCCCGTTGGGGCTATCCAACGCCGTTTACCGCTTGTCGCTATGTTGCGTGGTTCTCGAGATCTTAGGGGGGCCAAAATGCCCCCCCCCCCCATCAGAACGCGTTGCTAGGCAGACCCCATCAGGGCGCGGGTTAACACAAAAGCTATTGTGTATTTGTGTTATTGTGTATTATTGGGTTTCTGAACCTGTTGATGGTATGCAATAAAAACAAAATAAATACAAGTGTAGAAGGTAACGGATGTGGGAATGGTAGGTCGTTACAGGTCTCGCGGGTTTTAGCGGTAGGTTTTGCACCTAGAAAATTTAGTGTACTTCAGGCTATATCTTCGTCGTCTTAAGCTTTTAAGTGTTGAAGATGCGATCGACTTGTTGGGTAACAAGCCGGCCACGATCGTGTAAAATTACTTCATTGTATATCGATTAGTTTCTGAGATATAACCGGAAATGTAAAAGTGCCAAACCTACCGCTTAATCTCGCGAGACCTGTACAAATAAAGGCTTGCATAGTATTGACGGTATTGACGATATTTCGGAAAGTTTGGGCCCCCATCTTGTTTGGGCCCTTTTTCTGAAAACCTGCCCCCGCAAGGCGAAATCCGTGGCGCCGTCCCTGGTGCTGGGGGGGGGGTCCTGGTCGGCCTGTCCATTCGGACGGGCTAAGCCCCGGCGACTCTAGGCCCTAGGGTGTCTGCCCAGACAAATGTCTCCCCCTAATTCCTATCATTCTTCCGGCTCTGAAATGGTCTTGTCAGACCGAAAGGGCCTAACCCAACAAAACAAAAACAAGCAAGCAGCGTGCGCCAGTCGCAGCTGGGCTGGCTGTGCAGCGCCGGCTCTCGATGACACGTCTATGGCCGAGTGGGAATGGGCGTGAATTGGTGCGTGTGCCTGTACTATAGCATAAGTGACCAATCTGAGCTGTTTCTACTTTGATATATTGAGCCTGACTCTGGAATAGCCACACTTGAGTGGAACGGATCTAATTGGGACGTGAACTGAATAAATGTATGACTATGACTAAGCAAGTATGAGTAAGCACACAAAATGCAACATAAATCGGTTTCTTGGTTGGTGATATCACGAAAACGTGTTGGCAATAGTCTAATTATGTTACAAAAATGCGTGATAAAATTACTCAAATTAATTTGAAAATTTATAGATGGCGTCAGGGTACCGAAGTTGGCAGGTGAAATCGATCTCCCTTTCTTTTCCGGGGTCCACCTATGATCCACCTGGCACCTCTTGTTCACTTGTGAACCTACAAAAAATGTTCATTTCAATCGCTATTGCATTTGTTATTTTACACACTTAACGTCATGATCTGAGTAGAAAATATTCGCTGTGTGTAATTACTTTCCAATACCTTCCAACATTCACTGGACGCGCCTAGATATTTTTTAATGTATAGCTTGCAAGTGTTCCAGAACTTAACTGAATTGAGTCACTCCAGGACAATCTAACTATTACCAAGCCGCTCATCAAATGCTACGTTGCATATCAATATCACACCCCTTTTTTGGACGCCTAGATCGTGCTATTATAACCCTCGCCCTGGTAGGGCATTTTTCGTAATGCGGCCTGGGGGGGGGGGGGTGATCCGACCTCCTGGCATTTCGAAACTAAACGTCGTAGCGCTTCCCAACAAAGACAAGTCGATTGCTCTTTACGAGTATTCGCGACTGGTGATACCTATATTTTTATCCTAGGTCAATATTTGACACCGTTTTGGCTAGTCAACGATCAATTTACGGGGAAAAGCTAAAATTTTCCAAGCTATTTAGCCAATAATGGCAAATCCATGAAAGATATCAACATGAAACTTTCACGACCGTGTTTCCCAATGAATTAGCAACAAAATGATGCATAGCTCACTGCAGTTCAGTCAATACTGGCGTGACATAGTCCCCGGGAACACGAGAGTCACACCCGCCGCTGGCGAGGACGGTCCTAATTGACCTGAGGTGACCTTGTACAGATCGAGGAACAATTTTGAAAGCATTTAGATGAAGATTGAACCACAGATTCGGATTCAGGACCTCAAGAAACCCCACTAAACACAGACATGCGAGGTCAATGACCTTTGTTGACCTTAGAAATGTCAATATACAATGTAATGTTTCATGTCCTGTCAAAATCTGACATAAGTCACACGGAATAATTTCGTTCTTGTCGATGGGATCGCGTCCAGTTACGCCAGATGTACGATTTTGTCAAAAAGAGTCGGAGGTTTTACCTATTGTGAGGTTATAGCTCGGTGACCTGACATGACCCGAAAATATTTTTTACCGAAAGATTGAGCTGAAAGTTAGCAAGTAGGTAGGCACCCACTAAGCCATGCTTATCCATGTGCCAGATTTGGGGTGCTGTTGCACGTGCGCACGTGCAGGGGTCGATTCCAGATCTCGAAGACGGCTGGACCGATTGCGCTCAAATTTGGTACACGGTTAGGGAGCAGTTGGTAGGGTGCCGTGCAAAAGTCAGTTGGGACCCAGTTGGCACGTGCGCACATGCAGGGTGCCGCTTCCAGATCTCGAGAACGGCTGGGCCGATTGCGCTCAAATTTGGCACATCACTAGGGACCGGTTAGTAGGTCTTGGGGTGCAGTGCACAAGTTATTTGGTGGTACCCCCTCGCAATTTCGCACGTGCAAGGCCCACCCTCCCGCTCACTTCGTTGGTCGCCCCAAAAGGCGTTTTACTGGTGTGCACGATTACTTTATAAAAATGCTGAAGTGTTGCAAGTGATTGACAAATATTGTCCAAAGCATGCTGCCTTTGTCCAACCAAATTCCGATTTGGGCATAGGACAAAATCGGAATTCTGAAGGTTCAAAATCCAATTGGCACCACTCTAACAGATGTGGTAAGGTTGTGATAGGTTTTACCGAACGGAGATATAGACGATCTGCACAACTGACGAGAGAAGCCAACCTCTGTCAACTGGCTGGTGTGCAGCAAGCAGATATTGATATTCTGCAACGGTTATTTTTGTTGTTGTTTTAATCTTTCTTCAATAAGGTACCTATGTTAGAGCTGTTGTGCCTATTTGTTTATACACCAAACAACATCGGTGATAGCCAGATAACTATTTCATGGCGTGCAAAGAAAGACTGTTCAAGTTACCCAACGGTCGGGTTATTTGAATACACCGTCACTTGACGGAGAAGCAAGGCTTTACTTCACATTTTTCAAAAAATATGTTCAACTTGAAACTTGATGCACTCTATGG